GTCTTTATTTTACAGTTAAAATATGTGTTTATCAAATAAAGTCTAATGTTACAACTAATCATAGATCCCTTTAAATTGTCATTAAAAAGCAATGAATTTGATTTTGTAGAAACCTTGTAAAGGTAGATTATTTAGTACAAGTGTCTCTATGAGCTAGGTTTTGCTCAAAGCTCGGTTTTGTCAAAAATAAACATTTTTATGTTTTGTTTTTTTTGCACATTTATTGAGATCTTTTAGTTTAAACTCTTTTTTTCTTCCTCGCCTGGAGGTGCATCTCACCTCCCCCGACCGGCTGACCTCAGTGTGCCTCTCTGGGTGTTTAACCACAGCAGCTCCCCGGAGCTTCTACAAAAACCACAACCCGTTCACCAACAAGGCCTCCCTCATGATTCCTGCTTCTTCCTCTCCCAGAGCCGGCGGCAGCRTTTGCTCGTCGGAAGGTGCTTTGGTTTCTGTAAAGCTTTATCGGGTCCACTGAGTGCACCCCAAAGCTGCCATTTCAGATCTGTTTAACGAGATGGACGGTACTGATGGTTCTACGCTCGACCTGCTCATCGTCACAGAGCCCTAATGAAAAGCCGACCWGTGTGCAGATTTTGTTTGTTGCCTCAGTTTTCTCCTGATTGCTGCACACCTCTCTTAATTTTTCCACATTTGTCCTTGTTGCAGCTCACACCCCCGACAACAGTTTCCTGGGTTTCGTCGTGGAGCAGCACCTGAACGCCAGCGACATCAAACACATCGATGACATCAAGAGACAGAACCAGTCGCTCGTCTACGGCAAAGTCGACAACTTCTGGAAGGTACTGTGATCTTTTATCACCCGCACRTTTGTTTCCTAAGCCAAAACACGATGGAGAGACGACTCAGGCGGGAATCTTGACTAAAGGGTGGCAGCAAAGGTCAAAGGAAAGGTTTACAAGAGACTCCGTGAGACCAGCTGAGTTGTTTGCTTTGGAGATGGAGCTGGAAGAAATTATTAACTAGAAAGAGCAAAAAGGACAAAAGAACAGGGAAAAAAGGATGAAATGGAAAAAGTAAAACAGTCCAGCTGAGAATCAACAGGCTGTTAGAACGTTAAGATAATCTGTTGCAGGGGAAAGAGGGTTATCAGACGAAGAGCATATTTGGAATCCATCAGGCTGGGCTGGACCGGACTCAACTTCCTGGTCTGAACTCACTTCCTACGWGACTGAAGAGGCTCCGCCCCTCCTATAAATAGGTCTGGAGTTTTATGAGCAGCTTCCTTGTCTCATTGACTAATTTATTCAGTAAACATTCACTGAGCTGGGCTCCTCAAGTCCATCAGAAGGGTTTTCAAAAAAGAAAATCAGCTTATTTTAACTCTTTTTGCTTTTGAAGCCAAACTCTTCTTATGTCTTCGCTAATTTGTTTGTTTGTTTTTCTATGGAACAAAACAGCTGATGCGGCGTTGCATGCCTAATACTCTTAATTAATAAAAGAGGATTTAAAGAGAAAATATGTGACTTTTGAAAATATTTTCTTTTTCAAAATAAAGGAGTCGATCTGGAGGGTTAGGGTTCTTTCTCTCTGTCAGCTGTTTGTTCTGCTCACATTTCAGTTTCCTCAGTAGGTTTGCCAGTTTAAAATCTTTTTTAAGATTTGATCCAACATCTTCATCTSTTTAGAGCATTTCACCGACACTCAGTTCTGCTGTTTTAACACTTTTTATTCAATGAGTTGTTAAACTTTGAGCAAACTGTAAAATGGGCATATTTATATCACACGCTCATCTGAGCTTCCTGAAACTACAGATCTAAAGACAAAAAACTAACCGTGATGCAGCTGAAGCCTCGTGAAGCTCTGAGGCTTTAAAGATTTAAAGCTTCCAGGTTTCAGGGACATCTGGTGGACGAATGAAGCCACAGCAACCTGACGAGCTAGAAAGTGTTTGTCAGAGTTGCATGTAAAAAAAATAGATACTTTTTAGCATCATGAAAAGCATCAGAATGTGAGGGAGGAACAGTGAGGCTACAAGGAACAGAGGGCGTAGAGGTTTACAAGAAACTGTGAGACCAGCTATGTTGTCTGGTTTGGAGACAGAGACATGGATGAAAATACAGGAGACAGAACTGGAAGTGTCAGAGCTGAAGATGTTGAGGTTGTCCTTGGGAGTGAGAAGGATGGAGAAGATTAGGAAAAAGATCATCAGAGGTGCAGCACAGGTTGAAGGACTGGAAGATAAAGTTAGAGAGACCAGACTGAGACAGTTAGGACATGTTCAGAGGAGGGACAGCGGGTATCTTGGTAGAAGGATGTTAGAGAGGAAGCTAACAGAAAAAAGACATAGAGGACATGTACAGGGGTTGGACAATGAAACTGAAACACCTGGTTTTAGACCACAATAATTGATTGGTATGGTGTAGGGCCTCCTTTTGCAGCCAAAACAGCRTCAATTCCCCTTGGGAATGACATATACAAGTCCTGCACAGTGGTCAGAGGGATTTTAAGCCATGCTTCTTGCAGGATAGTGGTCACTACGTGATACTGATGGAGGAAAACGTTTCCTGACTCACTGTGACTGTGCAGGCCATGGGAGATGTTCAACTTCACTTTCATGTTCATCAAACCAATCTTTCACCAGTCTTGCTGTGTCTATTGGTGCATTGTCATCTTGATACATGGGACCACCTTCAGGATATAATGTTTAAACCATTAAATGCACTTGGTCCTCCAGAATGGATCGGTAGTCCTTGACAGTGGCGTGCCCATCTAGCACAAGTATTGGGCCAAGGAAATGACATGATAGGGCAGTCCAAACCATCACTGATCCACCCCCATGCTTCACTCTGGGCATGCAACAGTCTGGGTGGTACGATTCTTTGGGGCTTCTCCACACAGTAACTCTCCCAGATGTGGGGAAAACAGTTAAGGTGGACTCATCAGAGAACAGTACATGTTTCACATTGTCCACAACCCAAGATTTATGCTTCTTGCACCATTGAAACCGACGTTTGGCACGAGTGACCAAAGGTTTGGCTATAGCAGCCCGGCCGTGTATATTGACCCTGTGGAGCTCCCGACAGACAGTTCTGGTGGAAAGTGGAGAGCTGAGGTGCACATTTAACRTCTGCCCATGATTTGGGCAGACGTAGTTTTATGTTTTTTTGGATGCAATCCAGGGTTAGCACCTAAACATCTCTTTCAGACAGCTTCCTCTTGCGTCCACAGTTAATCCTGTTGGATGTGGTTGGTCCTTCTTGGTGGTATGCTGACATTACCCTGGATACTGTGGCTCWTGATACATCACAAAGACTTACTGTCTTGGTCACAGATGCACCAGCAAGACGTGCACCAACAATTTGTCCTCTGTTGAACTCTGGTATGTCACACATACTAATGTTGTGTGCATTGCAAGATATTGAGCCAAACTGTGCTCTTGCCCTGCTAATTGAACCTTCACACTCTGCTCTTACTGGTGCAATGTGCAATTAATGAAGACTGGCTACCAGGCTGGTCCAATTTAGCCATGAAACCTCCTACACTAAAATGACAGGTGTTTCAGTTTCATTGTCCAACCCCTGTAGGTGTGCAGTTGGAGTGAGGACAGAGGACACAGAAGACAGAGTGAGATGGACGACTGTCTATAGAACAGCCAGAAGAAGTTGATTAAATTCCTGGAAATCTCATAAACTAGAAGTACTTCTAAGTAAACAGAACATGTCTAAAACCCTGGGAAAGTGTTTCATTATATGGAGAGGAAGTGTGGGTGCAGAGGGTGCTGCAGCACTCCCATCTGAGAGTGTCAGACTCTGTGAAACGTTGTGAACAGACTTACCAACACTCAGCTTCAGTAGCTCAGACCGGCTTATGGCCCCGCCCCCTCCTTCAGCCATGTTTTAATGGATTCAGATCCACGCTCGCACCGCGGCGCAGGGAGCGAGGGGATTACTGTCGCCCAGCCRGATCCGATTCACGGAGATTTATACGCTGTCCGGCTCTGCCAYGGACCGTTGAATTACCGCCGGCGCCTCCACGACTCTTCAGCCGACACGTGTGTGTTTCCTGCTGCCCGCCGGAGGAAAATCAATGAGAAACCTTAATGAATGTGATGAAGATGCGCAGGCAGCTCTCGCATCGATCCAATTTGTTTCGTTCCTCTGAATTAAGTCATCAGGTTTTCATAGAAGTAGCCAGACTTTTATTACTTTTACCTGACCGGCTCAGGGGATTAGTCAGATTACARGGCTGCTTATTGTTTTTAATCTGGAGGTTTCTGGCTTCCAGCACCAACCYGCAGCGAGCGGAGCAGTTGTCTGTAACTCAGTGGAGCTTTGAGGAGGGCAGACTGGGSAAGCCATCAGCTCACAGCGAGGGGCATTAGCTGCTAATTAGACTCCTGAGGGGCTTCATTAGCTCCTGCTTTTAATTAAAGGGCTGATTTTGGACYGACTAACCAGCTGATAGACTTTCTCACTTTCCTTCCTCATCYCTTTAGATGGTGTTGTCCTCAGATCTTTTTCTGCACTTCACAGCTTTCATTTTATATTATCTGTGCTTTTTACACACTTTAGGTTGAACCCACAAAATCAGATGTGGACTGAGTGGGAAACACCTGAAGGTTTTAGAAATTGTTTGAAACTTTTCACGGGCGATACGTGTTCATGTAAGGAATTCTAGAGAGAACAGCCTTGCTAGTTAGAACAGTTTTACCTTGTGGAGAACCATCAGCCATAAGGTCCATGTTTTTATTTATTTTTTAGGTTTTGGTGTTGTCAGTAAACCATACCTGACAAAGCCTTCTAAATGTGTTTTTATTTTGTTAGAATTGTTTCAAATGCTCATAAACTCCCAGAAACTTTACAGCCCTCTAGTGTTCCTTATGGGAAAAAAATCAACCAGAGTGAAATCCAGTTTTAATTCTGTATTTATATTATAAAATGATGCAGTTTTTTGAGCTTTGTTTTGTTTTGTTTCTCCACTTTATATCCCACCAAAAAAACAAACGCATTTAAATGTTAACTTGAGGTCAGCAGCTATTTGAACCTTGAAGGACCTTCTGAAGGTCACAAAGACTGGTCAGAACCAAGGTGGGCTGAAGGAAACTCTGGAAGTGTTTGAGCCGCAGCAGCAGGAAGCCTCAGCTGAAAATAGGTGAGAAAAAGTGGAGACGTTTAGTCAGCAGTCCACTGATTTTTATAAATATTAGGAAAGTTAGACTGAAGAGTTTGTGTCTGTAAAGGTCATAAAGTCCTCTCCGTGTCCTCTGTGTCCTCTCTCTGACCACTCTGTAGGGCTGGGCAATATGGCAAAAAAATGATCATGATTAATTTTTTTCATGTCGACCAATCTTGATTAATTTATCATGATTTTTTGTTAACCTAAAAAGTGACTGAAAAATAATTTAACAAATAAACAAATAAATAGATCTTTCACAGTAATGTCAGAACTGGGCCAACTGGAACAGCATTTTGTTTCCTGCATTAGGGACGACTTGCCCGGGGT